TATCACATCCGGTTCATTTCCAAAATTCGGATGAGATTAGAGGAGCAAACGCTTAGCTAGCAGCTAACATTGTAGCTAATACTGACATTGTTTCTTGCTAACATGAGTTTTCTTAGTTGAGAAGAATGTTACTGCTAGGAATTCACAGACCTGATATATTTAGATTTTTTTTTTAGATGACAACGAGCTGATTTAAGGCAGATCCAGTCAGTTTAGTTGCATGACGACATCTCCAGCATCACACAGGTTGCTAGTGGTGCAGCTAACTTAGCTTGGAGGAAGCTAACAGCGAAGTGCGAAAAATTTCGAGGCATTTCACAACAACAGTTTTTATTTATATTTATTTATTTGTATATATTTGCATCGGTTTTTAATTTACTAGCAAACTATGATCGAGTAAGTTGATATGACTGAGAAGCTCAGATGAAGATGTTTTCTTTCCCTGACTTGCTCTCTCTGCGGTTATGCTCAGCAGAATGCCTCTTTAGAAGCCTTTGCTGAACTTACGGAGACGTAACATTTTGTTATTTCACTTCATCTGACTTTTGTAAGCTGAGTGTTGCCTGAAAAATTACTATTCTTCCTGACAGCTTATTAATTTATCATTATTAACTCAGCAGTGGCTTAAGCCAAGGTGACTGCATTGGATGAGAGCTGGAAGTAGTTGGATCGGTGCCTCCCTGATCACCGCCCATATATCTGTAACCAAAAACGTTAGTGTAGTTTCTCATAAAGCTCGACAACAGAAGGAAACCAAGGCCAGACAACTATGTCGCACAATTTCCGTTAGTATCATGTGATACATACTGGAAACAAAATGGATTTTCCCCCAATACAGAGATCCTTGGTGTTATCAGAATTTGATCCATTTGGTCATTAATTTGGGGGAATTCCAGAAGACCTGTATGCTCAAATTACCATTCAAATGGGCCAACACAAAGCTAGTGTGCAACCTCTCAGCAGTTCAGCTCAGCTCAGCAGAATCAGCCATGTGTACATGCTGTATAGGCACAAATAATGTGAAAGCACGAAAAAGGCTGGACATAACATGAATGTAAACAGTAAGCTTTTTTAGTAATTAACGGGCAGCATGTTCATGTTAATACATGGATGAAATTGCTCCAGTTAGTTAAGAAACATCTAGAATCTTTAAAGATCATCACTAACACATTGTACCTCGTGGGTTTTATCTCCAGGGCCTGAGCGTATACTTCTTTGTAATGGCCCATGTGAGGCCTTTTGCCCTGCCTTTTTGCTTATCTAAACTAGCCAGCTGTTGGCTTAGCACACACACAGGATGAGAGCGCTATTGATTTTCTCTTGGCAAGGAAGCAAATAAGCATACCCACTTCCCTAACCTTTTTAATAGCCGCTTGGTAAATTCTTGCCGTGGAAAAGGCCTGTTTATGTGTTACCCCTTTTCTTTTGTTAAATGTCCACAGCAAAGCAGCAGGCGTACCATCAGAGCCACCAAGCCATGCAAAGGATCCCAGCCAATGTCTAAAATCCACTGGTATATTCACACATCCCTCAGTAGCATGGAGTAAATATGTTGATAATGTGAGATGAAGCATTCAGTGTTAAACAATGACAGGACACATCCTCTGAATCCTGATGAGTCAAGTTATGTACACCTGACAACATCATGGACTATGTTAACATCACTGTTTGTTTGTTTTTTTTACTTGTTCATGCACTGCTGGCAAGCTTATGTTTGCACACTTGTAATCTATAATCAATCTCCTATCTCCCCTTTGAATGTGTCCACCTGCAGCTATAGTCTCGCTCATTATGGCCACCCGCAGTGTGAATATAAACCTCCGCCGCTCCACCAGCGATCATCATCAATCTTTACTCAAAGATTGTTCCAGGTGCAATGCTCCATTAGCTGCATGTGTTTCTGTTGAGACAATCTGCATGTGTATGTGTGTCTGCGTGTGTTTCCCCGAGCCTTTGCAGCATATCCTCAGTTTAACAGCATCTATGACCTCTCCCTCCTCCCTCTAGCTTGAAACCCCGCAACCTTGTTAGCTCCCGTTTTGCCCCCCACCCTCCGAGCAGCACCAGCAGCGGGCACGGTGGTACTCACGCTGGCAGTGACCCCAGGAGCGACGAGTCCATCCCCAGCAGCAGTCCACACGGGCCCCATATCGACACAGGCCATTGGATGATGCCATCTGCCGTGGCCACCTGTGAGTGGATAACATAATAGGTTCACAGCCAATTAAAACACCTTAATGAAAAGCCTTTTTATATTGTTTGGAAGGGGAAGGGTGTGTGATTCAGAGCTTTCATGAGTCATTTTCCTGCTGCAAAGAAAAAGAGCCAGAAGATACATTTAAAGACTTATATTTAAATTAAAAAAAGGCTTTTTAACCACTAGGTACAGTGAGCACTTATGGCAGTCATACTAATTGCAGGTACAGCAATGAAAATAGACACACACGAAACAAACGAGTACAGTTATGTAAAATGCATGAATAATAACAAATAAAGAAAGCCGGGTCTTTCTTGATAGATTTTTTTCTAATGTTTAATTTCCTCATCTAAATGCAGAGCATGAAGATGGATAAGGTTTCTGAACAGATTTAAAACCCTACGAAAAATAAAACTGACTTTGCTTGACTAATGTGGGGAGAAAAAAGTTTCAGTGCATTACAGCTCTTTGATTATGCATCAATCACAATCCTAAAACAGTCCACTTTAAGTGATGTCTATTTGTTTATTAATGTCAGAATATGACGACAAATCTCATTTATTGAGGACTCCGGGGTGCTGTCTTTCAATTTCACTCCCTTTTTATAAAAATAAATCAGATACTCTGTTTGTGTAACACAAAGAAACAGCGGCAGCAAAAGAGTTACGTTTGAAAAGTGGTAAACAGAAAACATTTGCCATTTTGCTTCTCAAATATCTGAAGGGGGTGAAAGTGACAAGTGTCAGAAAGTCGAAGGCTGACTTTTCACCGCTTCGCCGTAGCAGATTATCTCTGAATCATGGAAACAAAACTGACAGCACATCAGCTCGTGTTGGTTTCTTTAATGTCAAACTGGAGACCTGTATTGAAAGCCTGCCAGGCTCGATTTGAATTTAGCCTTCAGTGCGTGCATCGCTACGCCGCTGACACGCACATCTGACAACACCACATTACTGCTGTGTTCACTTGGCTTTCGGGAGCTCCTGGAAAAGATTAGCAACTACGCGCTTCCGGTTGTCCTTGAAAATACAATATTTGCCTCCAAAATGGCAACTCCATGACACTGGAAGATGGTATTATCTCTGCTACACAGAGAAGATAGGTAGGTATTAGTTCTTATACACATTCTAAAGCAGGTTATTTCCCAAACACAACAGTTCCTCTATGAGAAATTAGAGCCGGATATTTTTGTTACACTCTGCTCCATTCTGTTCAGAGCAAGAAATAGCTTCTTGGCAGACCGCGTATGTGGATTACCTTTTTTATCTGTACGAGGGCCGACCACATATTTATGGCGAGAATAGAGTGAAGGAATGAGCCCATTTAAGGATACTGAAGAAAATCCAAGGCACATTCTTTAAGAGCCTGGCGCTCATATGCTACCTAAAATCTGAAACAATAATAAACGAATCAGTGGATAGGGAAGATTTGTTGCAGCTGACTGTTTTTCCCTCTTTCTTCAAATAAAGATGACAGTGTTTTCAACCAGTGGGACATTTTTATCGTCATTTATAGGTGTGAAGCACATGAGGAGGTTTGCACAGATCACTGAGTAAATCCAATACAATAAGAAGGTTTTAATTGCACAGAACAGCTGGAAAACGCTGTAATCCTGCACAAAACAAAGGAGAAGTTCACTTCCTTTACGTGCTTCACACAAAAGACACTTTCTTTTTGTCTCTCAATGAGAAAGTGAGGTTGTCGCTCAGTATTCAAGGCACATCCTCCACTGCTATCCCTGCCTGTTAGTGCCTCTATGCCAAGATGAGGAAATGCTAATGCTTGCCCCTGCTGCCAATCACCTCTTTGGAGAAAAAAAACAAAAAACAGACGGATGCTAAGTGAGAGTGGCAGATCCAGGGAAAATGTTTGTCTGCTGCCTGGTGAGCGGGAAGTCAGTCAGTGAAGCACACAGTATGGGTGAGGAAATGAGGACGGGAAGGAAAAGGAAGCAAAACCAGAAGAGAGGAAACAAATGAAAGGAATTGCATGAAAGCAGTAAAAGAGGAAAGGAAAGAATAGGAACAGTCTGGACAGCAGCCACATTTCTCAACCGGACTCCCCTTCCACACTAGAAGCTTGCTGCATAAAACAAATTAAAGATGCTTCTGCATGAGGCAAAAACCCTGCTCGTTGACACCTCTCAAAACATCTGACAACCTCCTTTGACATTTCAGTGATATTTGGATTTGGCGACTGGAGGCTGATTTCATCCTGATGTGTTGAAAGCTCTTGTTAATTGCTGCACAAGGCAATCACCACCTTAGAATATGGAGGCATCAAGTGGAAGGCATTTATGCTGCTTCGGCTGCACCTGTTCCCATATAACCTAATGGCCTCACATTCGTTTGCAGCCTGCAAAGTAATTATCACATCGAATGACTCCCGTGGATGTGCAGATTTAGTATCGTAACAGTTTTCATTTTTATTTTTGACAGTTTTATTATAAAAGCATATTTTCGTGTTCACGTCATAATCTTCAGCACACACGCGTTGTGCCATGATGAAGATGATAAGATGAAAAACTCGACATTTTTTAGATATACAGGGCTTTGTAAAACACACAATGATAAAGTCATTTTTAAATTTCAAATGGTTAAAGGGAGATTAAGGGACAATCACTAGACTAAAGGCTCAACCCCTCTGCTCTGTGCAAGGTCTGGCTAATGTGAATGTTGTAAATGATCCATAACTAGTTTCTGTTAACAGACAAGCTGCTGTAATTGGAGACGGAGCCAGAAGGTAATGAGTAAAAGGCGAGCTACAGAAGTGTAACTGAGAGAAGATTAAGATGGCAGAAAGCAATTTATTTATTTATTCACTAATAGAGATTGAGGAAATGTTTGTAACAGAAGCTAGACAACAATGAAGTGTGTTTAAAAGTATGTCCAGCTGTGTGTGGTGGCATAAATAATAATATGCACCTCGGATGGTCTGGTAAGCGACAAAAAGGAAGGTAACAAAAACAGACACTGGACCTATCATATCAAACTTTTTATGGACCTTTATGATATATGTTGCAAGTATTTGAAGAGCATTGCTTTGACATCAGTGAGAAGCAGCTGGTCTGCCAATATACCTATATAACTGACTTATGTGACATCAGTGATGGCTATTCATGTGCTTTATTTATCAAGATCAATGTAATAATTGGAGAAAAAAAACCCTAATAGCAGCAGTAGTATTTGCACATTTTTAACATGAAACTGGTTGAACTCTTACATTACATAAAGGAATGTTGTTTTATTCTTGAGATTTTAATATTGGCACACAGTTAAATATAAATCTTAAAATATTCTTCATCCCTTTTCTTTTTACAAAAGAAACTGAATTTAGTAAATCAACCATCAGCAATATCGTCACAAATATTCACAATGCTTGTATTGACTCTGGTGTAATCCTTTCAAATATTGCACAACATGTTCCTCTGCTACTCTTCACTGATCTTTTTTTAAAAGATTGACAAGTTAGACCTAAAAATAAAAGTGAAAAATCTAAATACTACTGAAAAAAACTGTTAAAAATATCTCCACGCTAAAATGTGGTATTCAGACTTTAGTTACAAAAAGATTCACATGCTACATGTAACACTGTAATTGATGAGATAACTGACTCTATAATCTCTATCATATCTGAAATGACCATGAGACATGATGGAGGAAATCAGAACAAAAACAGCCAACAATGGGTATTTTAAAACAGATTTTTTTTTAAAGAACATACTTTACATACACTATTTTAAAAATGTAAGAGATGGAAACAAAGAAATAAATTAAAACGAAAATAAACAAACACACATGAGTAAGCTAACACATTATACTGAGCTTATTATATCTTCACACGGCGATCAAAAGTGATGCTGGAAGGTGCTTGAAGTCCTCAGCTGGGATCACAAAAATAAATGTGCTCCTTCACACCAGAGTCGAGCAAAATGCCAGAAATTATTTAAACACTGAAAATCTCCAAAACAGTTTTGACTATTTTATCTCCATAGGAGAAAATCTTTCTCAAGCTATTAATCCTCCTGAGGGCAACACTGACCAAAAATATTTATCACGATACAGATTTGAAAATTTGCGATAACGATATAATTGACACTAGACAAAATACTTTACAACTCCACAATTTTATTAGTGCAAAAAAAACCCCCATCAATGTATTTTCACTTAAACAAGCAGCTGTTTTTTATGTGCATTAAAGTTATATAAAAACGTAACAGTGCAAATTCCTTGCTGACAGTTTAACCAAAAGGCATTTCCAGTGGAAACTGGCCGACATATCCTAAGCATAACTATGTATAATATCCACAAAACTTAAAAAGAGGTTATACACACACAATACGGTAATATCATGTTGAAGCAGAGTACGTATCAGTCCGCGAGGCGCCTGCCTACGATAGCCGCAATGCTCCGACAATACATCAAGCAGTGCGGGTTTGTAGCTTAGCAAAGTCGTACTGGAACATTTGACAGATTTTCGAGAGCCGTGTAACACATAAAATCGTTTCGAGGTCAGTAAACACAACCAGAATTCATACATAAGGCACACGGGATTATAAAGGGCACTGTCAATTTTCAGAAAAATCAAAGGATTGATTTTAAGTGTGCTGTATTTTCCAAACAACACGATAATAACGACGGTCCGCTAGCATGCTCTACCAAAAATAGTGCTTTGTTGTGTATCTGACGGACGAAAGCCAAACCAGTTCCACACCACTGAAGTTGCAGCATTTTTACAAACCAATTCTGGTTCATCCGTTTCATTCAACGATCTGCTTTCGCCCTTCTCATTGCCAATGTGTGAATGGGTGTGTGAATGGGTGAATGACTGAATGTAGTGTAAAGCGCTTTGGAGTCCTTAGGGACTGAGTAAAGCGCTATACAAATGCAGGCCATTTACCATTTACCATTTCTCATTCTCCATCGCCGCCATGCTTTTTCCGCCATGTGCGTATGAAAACAAAGGCACTGCGCATGCGCGTTTTACCAATATT